TGGTAATTACCTCCGCGTATGTATCTATATCGGGAAAATAATCGATACGAGACGTCTCGCGCGAATCAGAGGAGTTTTTAAATGAAAGCTAATTTTCTCATCTATGTAGTTCACATCTTCTTGAACACCATCTGTTCTCTTCTTTTCTATTTTATAGTAATTAGATATACGTGTGCTATAGCAAAATAAGCTTTTAATATAATCACCGCTGCTATTATACAAATTATACGTTAATGCGCATGTGTTTACGCCGATATCCGCGTTCAAAGCAGAATATATCAAGCATATACAGCAGCATATATCACACTAACTAATGTAGCTTTATGAAGTAATTACTTAAGGTGCAATTAATACATATACATATATAATTATATTATACATATAAGAAAAAAGAAATTTTATTCTAAGATTAGATATATAAGAATGGAACGCAAAGATAAATAAATAAAATACTGTAACATAATATCAAAAATTGCAGTAGTGACAATTCTGAAACAAACCGTATTCAATTAAATGCTTTTATAGTTAACATGACTATGATTAGGGGAACAGGGGGTAGCCCCGGACATTATCAAGTATCCCGCATATGTTGAGGGATAATACGCAGAAGGGCATATTAGAATGTTTAAACAATGGCCATAGATACGCGGGATATTTGAATTTCAATAATATCTATCCCCCGTTCCCCTATTTTATTTTTGTTATTTGTGTTATTATTTTCGTTATTATTAATATCATTATTACGATTTGTTATTTAATTAGTCGTGCACACTAATAATAATATTGTGCAATCGTTCTTGGTTTTTGTGTACAAATAGCGGTGCACCTTATAAATTGAATGATCGAAAATATATATTGATACTTCTGTAGTAATATTTACAATGTCAAAATTCCATTTCCATGGTTCTTGTCAATTCCATCATTCGATTATCATACCATATTGGATGGTGATCTCATTGGTGGTATTATCCCTGGTATCGATTTCCATGATCAAATAGGAATTCGCTTTTCAGTTCATACGAATCGGAAATGACCGGGAGTAGAATAGAAACGTATCAATAAATGACCAGTCGCAAAGAATATTGATAATTGGATTTCTTTGTGTTATTTGAAGAGTAAAAAGGTAGTAAATAAATTACTACACTATAGACTTTTAATAAATAATCTCTTTAACCTCATGGTTATGTAATAATTAAAACCGAATAACATGTGTTACACCTTTATCTTCGAACAAATACAATTATAAACTACTCTATGAAACTCATGCGTAAGAATAAACATAAAAACGGTCACATTCGTTAGCATATCCGCGCCTTATGCTTTCGATCACCGTAACCAATATTCGCTGCCAATGTTTCTACCGAAAACGCCATTCGGTCGTCAGTGTCCTTAATAATGAAATTTATTATGCCTGGCAGCCATACGTTTCGCCGTGCGGTCTGGAGTAAATATTAAGCATATATTTTAGCGCTCCTGGCAACGCGCCCTGTGCGGTCCCCACGGTTCGCTAAAATCCCGACATCACAAGCGCGGTATGTGGCACGGTGGCCGATGGCGCGACCGTTGCTGTTCCAAAATCGATTTTGTCGAAATCGAATGGTCAAAATGCAGCCCGGTTCGTCCGCTTTTACGGCGTAACTAGATGCGTCGAAACCATTTGACGTGTTATTTCTCGTTTTTTTTTTTTCGACCGAAGCACGGAGAAGCGTACATTTCACACCAATATACGATTTTTCAATTCGCGTGACAGCAGCGTTGTATAAATAACATGAAAAATATTAGCACGTACTAGAGAGAAACGAGTCCCTCCTCCCGGGGGAGCGAACCCCCTCTTCGCATAATAGGTTTAATATAATATTCACGACGGTAATCCGCGGTGTCTTTCATCAGATTTCCACATTCGTGATAAATTTAATCTTCAACGCTTTGTAACGAGGACTCGTATAACGCACGCGTCCCGAAATGAAGAAAAAGAGGAGAGGAGATATGAAAGAGAGAAGCGATTCCAAAAGATAATAGAAACGAAAGCATTAGAGCTGCGTATGGATAAGAGCTTTTTGTCAGGAATATTCATTGGCACGATTTTCGTGTGCCGATAGAATAAACTGCCGCGATAAAGTTATCGTTGGATACGTGGGGTAGATCGCGCAATCCCGTTACAGTGACGTGTAAACTGTGTGTGATGTCAAAAATATCACTCAATCTCTGCGACCACCGGCGGATATAATGACATTCCGCTTATCAATAATTTCTCCAAAGACTTCACCCAAAATCATATTTTCTCTCACGAAAAAATTTACTCTCCATATATTTTTGTACAAAATTATTCTGTAACGCTACTATACACTTGCACTTTATCCACCTTCGTATTTGATTTTGCGTTGATATACATCCCCCGTCAATAACAGTTGCCTCTCTATATTTACAAAAAAAAAAAGAGAAAAGAGAATATTACACATTTTTACGTCAATCTAAAGCAAAACTATGTTGTTATTCATCACCATTTATTTGATCCATTACGATGGAATATCGGTCGGCCGTCGATGACCCCCAGTGAACGTGTTAGCCGGTGGATGTTATAGCGACCGTTGTATCTTTCAACGATAAAACAAAAATCAGGACATCCATGTCATGCTGCCTATCCATCCTGCCCGGCTCACCGAATACGTAGCCTTCATTTCGAGATAAATAATTCCATCCAACCGGCGAACGATTCGCGCCATTCCGGATGCAGTGATAAATGAGTAGGTGTGAGCGGAGAGGTGTTCTCCACATTTACGTGCACGTATTGTTATGTACTTTTACGTGATCTCTCTTGGTCTCTCTCTCTCTCTGGATTTTAGTCATGCTGCGTCGATTTTACATTATCATTTCAGTGCGTATAGCTAGTCTGTAACGATTGCACGAGATTAACTCGCATTTACGTGAGATTACCAACAACAGTCATTCACGCATATCTCGTATTTTTCAAATAAAAATTGTCTGAAATAAGCGCTTTATGCACTAACTCGACTTAAACTATTTTTCTACGCTGTCTATATTAAGTGTTTTCTAATCATTTCTTTTTTTTTCGTTTTGTCGTTACGAATTTCTATTACGAAATCGTATAGTTTAGGATTAAGAAGCCGCTATTAGCTTGCACAAATGTGTAAGGTCGGAAAAGAAACTCGTCAAAGTAATGATCTATCTCCGCCTGGACGTCCACCTTCGCTTCACGTGCGGGCACCCGGCACGGTATTGAAAATCGCGATACAGATACAGGGACACGCGGACGCGAGAGGAAGCGAGAGAGGGATTGAGTGTGGGGGACCGATGGAGGACGGCGGAAGGGGGACGAAGAGGACGAGTCACAAAGAGAGGCGATCGGGGATGGAGAGGAGCGCGAGAGGTGGTGAGAGGGCGAGTATCGCGATACTCCATCGGACAGAAATCGATACAGGGACGGCCGGGGTAACCGGGTGCGAGGGGGGACGGGTTGCCAGCCGGGGGTTTCTGTATTTTTCGTGAAAGCATTACGAACTCGTCCGCAAATATCTCCGGCGCATGGCTCTCAGCTATGCTCGGGGATTTGCGCGACGACAGCTTCCGATGGCCGGCTCTCCTTCGCGAGTTCCTCCTACCGACAGGTATCGAATTTCATTCGAAACTAATTCCCGATGTGTCGGAGATCGACGCATCTCCGTCTATTATCAACGGTGGCGGCGGAAGACGTATTACAGCACGAGACAAGTCACTCCGACGATTTCTAACACGTTTTTCCGAGGTGTCAGACTAATCGCCCAGATCCTTCCCGTCGCGTTCATCGTGTGCTCCATCTTTCGCGGTTTCATACACGCGGCTACACACTTTCGAAAACGGCAGATCGACGTTTCGCCGAGGCCGAGGGAGAGAAAATTTCTCCCGCTTCGGGTTGAATGAGAACCGCCGTGCTCTTCGCCACGTAGTGTTGGCAGAGTGTTCGTGATCGATTACTCGTCATCCGCGCGCGATGTCCCGAGTTCGACGCCCACCACCCACTGCCAAACCAAACGTACTCCTTTCTTTTTTCCTCTGTTTTTCCTGCTCCTGCTCTCGTATTCGTCCTCGCTTCTACCTTCCACGTGGTCATCGACCGTGGGGCTACGTGGGGCGCGCACGTAAATGCTCGCCGCGAATGGACGCGTTTTTTCGCCTTTCTCTCCACGGCCGCGGCCCCAGGCAAGGGCCGGGTTATTCTGCAAGTTCACGAAGCGTCAAATCGAAGTCACTTTCCCCAAACGTTCTCGCCTCGATGGAGACCACGAATTTTATTCTGTCCTTTGCACACCCGTGTGCCTGGAGAGTAGAAATGCGACAGCGAGTCAATTCGAAGACCCATTCGGAAGCTCGTTCAGAGATATGATATCGCCAGTTTTTGCGTCACCGACCTACTGATCGTATCGATATTGTATCTTCCGAAAATTTAATTCAAGTTTTGAAAAATAATACGAAGTTTCCATTTTTGCTCACGATATGACATAAAAGTATTACATTTCTCTTCCATCTATATCTATTATTAAATGGAACATGAGAAACAGTTTTGTCACAATTGAACAATTCATTGAACAATTCGTGAAATGATTATTGAACGGACGGACGAGCTTGCCTTTATTCGTATTTATAAGATATCGCGATGCTACTTCCGCAGACAATTCTATTTTCTTTACGCGGATACGAGAAGGTTTTATTAACTGTAAAATAAGACCAGGAGAAAAATTTCCAGTAGCAGTTTGCGAACCGTTTTATTCCCTCAACATTGCGGAACAACTCATTGTTGCAAAGGGAGAGTGTTGCCGGACCAAAGTTTATAATAAGTGGGACTCGCTACTAAAGTTTTGCCGGGACTTTTAGATATAATCTCTGCGTGGAAGTCCATCTACAATTGTAGATCCTACGTTAACGACTCCAACAGTCAAGCCAAAGAACGCCGACACTTCTTCTATATATTACTTGCCGAGAAGCACAGTATTTTACAAACTTACCGGTCAGTAGGAGCAGCAATAATGTCGAATCCATTCCCAAAACCCTGAGTATAACCGGATAGAATCAGCTCAACACATTCTTGAAACTTTCCTGAAACAGAATACACGGAGAGGAAGTTAGAGAAATAAGTTTTTAATTCAAAATTTCTGTCAATCTATCAATCAATCAATAATACTGTTCAACAAAAAATTACTTCTTTTCGAGCATAAAAACAAGATTAATCGTTTCTTATAGTATATTATGTAGTATATGTTTTTCGAACATTAAATATGATCCCGTTTGCCAAATTGCTCTATCACGTCACAATTTTGAGAAATTTACAATTCAAATTAGAAAAAAGAACTATTTTAGTGTATTTTGGCATATTATAATTGCAAATTTCTCAAAATTGTGACGTGATAGAACAATTTAGTAGGATCGTATTCAGCGTTTAAAAAACTACGAAAAAACTATTATTCTCGTTCTTGTATTTTTTTTGTCGAACAGTGCAGTTAAACAGCGCAAAACTGCAAGAAAGTTAAACAAAGCTCTAATCCACTAATATTATTGTACGTATTTACAAAACGAATAGAATTCTACTTTGACTACAATCGCTTTGTTATTCGTTCAACAAATGTGTACGATCGCAACCGTATTATACTGGGATTCTCTCAACGCGCGTGATATCAGCGCGGTTCGCGGAAGTGTCGAGTGACAATTACTACAATCAAATGTGACTAGACGGCTCACGGAACTATGATAAAACGCTTGGTTTGCACGACGTCAGGAACACATGTAGCGCGTTGCGTCAAATGGTCACGGTTCGGACACCGGTCGATGGCCAAAGTCGGACAGGACAGTGGTAAAGAGCAGAAAGGTAGAACACGCCGTGGGGGTCGGTCGGATGAAACGCGTTTCGCCCTGGGACGAGGGCGTCAGTAGTAGAATTCAGGGCAGAGAACTGCGAGGAGGGATAACGGGCTGAAGGGGGAGAGGGGGGAGGAGGAGAACGTTCCTGTCCCGGAAGCGCAACGGCGGCCATTTTTCACGGCGCGGACGTCCGTTTCCGGGCCACGATCACCACGAAATACAAACAAAAATGGCGGACTTGGGGTGAAGACGAGGGTGGGACGAGCAGGGGGGGTTCCGGGAGATACGGAGCGAAAGAGGAAAATGGGAAAGACGGAAATCAAGTGCCGAGAGACAGAGGGGGCCGCGAGGCGAAAAAAGGACCGACCGGCTTGACGACACGACGGTGGTCCCTGTCGTCCATTGGATTTCCCTTTTTCCCCTATTTTTTTCCCTTTTTCCTTCCTTTTTTCCGCCGCTCCCTTTTCCATTCTCGCTGCTGCGTCCGCGTGTTACACGTGTAGAATACTCCTCGATCATACGGTACCTTTAAGATTCCTTTCAGCTTTGAAAAGCTTCCTTTGTACGCTCAGGCGAGATCGAATTTTTATGATACTTAAAGAGAGAGAGAGAGAGAGAGAGAGAGAGACGTATATCGATAAGTTATAGATTTTATACCATACTTTCATCGCCTCAGCTGTTTAGATGGGTTATACTTCAATCACTATCGCCGCTAAATCTTTAAAGTCATGAAAGAATGAAAGGAGAAATAGGAAGAATAAAATGATCTTAAACATCAAATATTAACTTTAATCTCACTTTAATAGATTTTTCCTTCTTTCAAGATTTTTAAGACTGAAGAGCGAATTATAAACTTTTTTACGTTCACACAACAAGGCGAACGTATAGAGAATCAAACGATGACGCATGATTAGCGCGTTTCAAAACTGTATTATAATGAAAAAGAAAGAAGAATAACCGACTTGAGCGGTAATAATCCGAGTTCTGCGGATATAAGATAGTCGTCTTTGCCGTTCGACGCCAAGGGGAACACCCGGCATCCTTGCCAATCTCCGCCCTCGCCGTTCTCAATTTCCATCGCTCTCCTCGTATAATAAAGCCTCTTTGTCTTCTCCGTTACGGCGACGTGGTCTCTTTTCGCGGTTCACCACCGCCGAGAAACGGAATGGAAATTTAGTTTTCTAGGACGGGGCACGTCTTTGGACCGGCCGATTATCGTATCGGACGACAAGGACGAATGAGCTCAACGTAACTTGGCACCGATCTGAGCACAAACGAGCTTTTGAAGTTCACCGTGAATATCATAACTCGAGCTTATCAGAAAGATTAAGGCAGGCGATATGTGACTATTGGAAATGCGAGTCCTTATCCTTATCGAAAACCGGGGAGACTCCGCCATTTGTGTATCCCCATTCAATTTCTAAATTAAAGTACTTTGAATCGGATTTCACAAAGGGAATTTCTGCAGTTTAACTGACCGTGAAAGCTTTCAATTCTCGATAATGTTGAGCATGTAAAAGTTAAAACACACATGAATTTCCAGTTATATCCGTGGCAAACTGGTACTGAGGAACTTTTGCGCTTTAAAATATCAATTTTGTATTTATATCAAAATAACATTTTGTTATAATTTTATTATTGAGTCAAAAATAATCGTGGCATCTAGTTCACTGAATATTCGCTAATTTTCGGTCTTTCGGGGGTGATTCGGTTTAAGCTGGCACGAGCAATTCCGCAGAAGTTGAATGGCCGTGCGGGCGCGCGCGCGAGTAGTAAGACAAGGACGGGCAAGAGTTATGCATTATGATTCGCTCCGTTCCCTCCCTTGCAACCCTCGAGCGCCAACCTAATAACGTCACTTGTTGCACGAGCCCCCCTGACCCCCACACTAACCCCGTCGAGGCTTCTCTCTCGCTTCGTCTTGCGCGAAACTATCGCCCATCCGGCACGGGAAAGTCCCGTCTCAAGGATATCATTCCCGTCTTATGAATTTCATTTATCTCGAGCGCGAACCGACGCGAACCCGCGCACACAAACCGCGCGTCGAATTTGCCGTTTTGTGCGTGAGTATAACATGTACGTTTAAGCGTACGTAGCTCGCATATCCCCATTCACGAACCGCAGACCGCGACATCGCGTATACGCGTGTACGAATTCCGTGTGTCTATACATCGGCGGGCCTGTTTTTTCTCTTTTTTTTTATATTTTTTTACGCACGTTCGTTAATACTGCGCAGCTTTGCTACTTTTCGCGCTCTTCGAGTGCGTTTCACGATTCGCCTCGATTTCACGCACGGCAGATGTCCGGTAGTGTTACAGCGAGGAAGCGCCAGGAGAAATTGTAACAATTGAAGGTTAAATCTACATTTTTTGCTCTCTCGCTTATTTCATAACAGTGATACGCAATATCCTTTATCGCGTGTCCAATATTGGTATACATCGTACCTCCAGCGTGTTTATCGAAACAGAAAAAAAGGTTCTATTGTGCTTTCAACTGCACGTTCTAAATTGCGTATACTGATAATTTAGCGATGTGACAATTTTTAGCGATGGGTTCATAACTATTCGATCGACGTTGCTAGAAAGATGGCGGCATCGAATAGTTTCGTCTAACTACGAGAATACCGTACTGAAACGAATCAATTTGTTCCTGGAATTTTTTAATTAAACGTTCCCTTTCTTTACCTCGTTACGCGTGCGGCCGACTATTGCGTGACTCGCTTGCACATTGTACGGAGCACACGTATAAATGCAATTTGTATGAATGCGGGTGTGTGTATATGTGTATGTATGTATGTACGTGTATTACAAAGGTATAGTAATATAAGAATATGAAAACTCAAATTTTTTATTTCGCGAACAAAACATACCTGAGAAAATTTTTATGACGCTTCATTTATTGTTTAATTTTTATTACAACAACGCGACAGTGTTGTAGATCCGTCTTATCCTATCCTTCACGCTTCGTTGAACAAAGCGCGTTACGAAATTCGTACGTGGCAGAAAGCGACGTATCATTTATTACTTTGTCGGATAACGCGTTTACAAGACAATAATTCGGTTGCATGAGTCGTAAAATCCGGCATCGTGAAATCACATCTCTCGAGAACGCACGGGCGTGGAGAACAGTAAAGGGAGATTGTTCGAATGACTTCGCGCTCTTTGCGCGTCGGACGACCCATCGTGGCGCATCGTTAACGAAACTTCGTTGGAATTTCAGCGCGCCATTCCTCACCGCGCAATCACCGCCATATATCACGAAAACCGCGCCGAAGTATCAGCCTGACACGTTTGCACGTTAATGCGGAAATGATCTCAAGTATACTCTGTCCGACGGAGAATTTATCAAACGTGTTCTCTCAACGGCAACTGAGAAGATTTCGACTCTCACAGATTGATTACGAATGTACGATTCGTATGACAGTATAGGTGCACCGAACGATTGTGTGCCATGCATTGCGAAAAGACTCCTGTAATTTAATCGCAATTTCTTAGATACGATACTTAGCAATAAAATTCGCCAAGAGAATCTTAGTATTATTTATAAATTTACCTACTCGAATCACAGATCGTTGCTCTGAAAAGGAAAATTGCTTTAAACAATTTAAAGCTTTACGAATGAGCGTAATACAAAATTGTTTACTATCTTCGAATAAAAGCGCTTGCTGCTTCGCAGCTAGCTCTACGACTTCCGCAAAAAAATATAGGAAAAACGATCAACTAGTCTTGATAATAGGAGCCCCAGGCGATTTTAATCGAATCGAAAGCAAGGGAGCCGCAGGAGGTATTCTGATTGTAATCCGATAAAATTTCGCTCACGCTCGTTACGCTGTCAGATCGCATAAAGCATAAATTTCGGACGGTGTTTAACGAACGCGAGAAAGAGAGAGCCTCTCGCCGCTGGTTACGGTTGCGAGATACCGCGGCACAAATGTTTCACCGCGGGGAAAATAATCGACTGCCGGCTGTCAACGTGTGCTTGAATTGTAGGCAATAATAGCATCGCTGGTACGCGGGATTAAAAGCGACGGAAAAACTGCGCTGCGCTCGAGATATATCACTACCCGATGTATCTCGCGCTAAGCTTTCTGTTTTCATGCAACGCGGCAGAGCGCGGTTCGGTCGAACGCGTTACATCCCAACGAATCTTCCGGGACGAAAGTCGACCGAAAATCGAAATACTGCTATTCTCAATAAAACGAGTAGCTAAGTGCGTTTTGGAAATTTCGTTTTGGCAACACC